AAGCCCTCATTTCATGCCTTCATCATAGTGACCATTTTCTCACTCAGCTAACTGCTGAGGTGCTTTGCATGAGGTGACAACTTGACTCTGACGAGGGGTTTGACTTCCTTTTATTTTTATTTTTCATTTTAGATAATAGATCTTCATAATAGAGACAGGAGCTAACAGCTTGGTTTAGTAATTCTCCATCAGCAATTTTCGACATGCTCAATAAATGTATTTTTACCTAAAATAACATCCTGGACACACATTTAAAAGTGACATTTTTTATGATTATAAAAGTAAGTCACAGGAATTATAAAAATTTTGGAAAATATAAAAATACATGAAAGAAGAAACTAAAAGTTACTCAAAATCTTATAACTCATTTCCTATTAATATTTTTATATATATTCTTACAAGTTTTAGTTATATGTCTATATGGTAAAATAGCAGAGATTTATCTCTACATACACAATTGGGATTATTAAAAATATTTCATAATTTGATTTTAGCATTGTGCATATATTTGAAAAACAAACTTCTTTTAGGTTTCTAATGAACATTTTAGTCACCAAGTTATGAGCTGAAATTCAGTAGTGGCCTGTCAGGAAAATTCTTAGGGTTCGGTGAAGGTATATGGAAAATAGCAGTTATTTTTTAACATATATACTAAATATTATTATAGTGTCAATTTCTCTGTAAAACCCTGCAAAACTAAAGTTACAGAACATGGTCAAGCTCATTATTACAAACTGTGTGATATTTATGACACATCTAAATATACTCTGAGGACTAATATGGAAGACTAATATTTATTGACCACTTACTTTTTATTAGGCAGAGAGCTGACTATTATGCAAAGATTACCTCATAGATGACATCTGTAGGGTAAAAATGAGGTTTCTAATCTCTGTACCCATAAAGTAGGAAAGAGGTAAAATAAGTTCAAATTCTACAATTCAAGGAAGAAAAAGAGGGTGCGTTTTGATCAAAAATATTTAAATTCACTGTTGAGTCAAGGTAAACTGCATAACTCCTCTATTTTCTCCTTGGAGGCACAGCCTTAGTGACTATTCACATTTTATCTTCTGTTGGGGAGATTTTTGCCTTATAAGAATGCAGTGCAAGTCATTTTACGTAAAAGATATTCTTTGGGCTGCCATATCAGGATTGCTTTGTGCATGCCACTGCTTACTATCTAGCAGTCTCTGCCTTCCGCTGATCTATAGGTAATAGAAGACGCCTCTGGACACATTTCCTTAAAGTTATGATCGGATATGCTTTGGACTCACATCACAAGTCATCTCAATGCAAAGTGGCAAATCATTTACTGCAGAGTTACAGGAAATGTAAATTTGATCTGGTGTGTGAAAAGTTGAAAGCTCTAGTTATAGAAATAGCTTGCTGTTCGCACATTTGTTTGGATGGCCCCTTTCCTGGGAAGTCAGACTTAAGGTGACCATAAACATAATGCTGCTCTTACGTTAGTGACTGTCATAAGTAATGTATCCTCTGCCTTACTGGGGAGAGACAAGACAGAATTGCCATGTGTTCATGAGGCTGATGACTTTATTAGAAGGACGTTGATAGGACAGTCCTTTCTGTCTTGATTAAAGTTAATCTTTGCCCAAGAACAGCTGGGCCACTTAGAATTATTTCATTTGTTAGCGCCTTACTTCTAGTCTTCCTGTGTATTATCTCTTCGGATCCTTACAAGAGAACTCTATCGTGAGATGGTTTTTAAGAGCACAGCCTCTGGTACTAGCTAGTAGAGAGTTTGAATTCCAGCTGGAAGTGCTAGCTGTGATACTTTGGGCAAGGAGCTTAACTTGTCTAGGCCATGTTTTTTTCCACTGGTAAAATGAGAATAACAATCACACCAAATTTATAGAACTGATATGAAAATTAAGGCAATGCATATGAAATTCTTAGCACAATGTCTTACTCAAGGAATGAAATGCTTAATAATCCTTTTAGGTGGATGAGGCAAATATGAAGCAGACAGACATCAAGAAGTTAAGTAAGACATTTGGCCTAAGGCCACATAGTTGCAGAACTGAAGTCAGATCAGCTATTCCCATTTAGGTCTTCTTTAAAAGGCCGCTTTGCTTTCTTAATTAAATGCATATGTGCATACATAGCTGTTGACTTTGAATATGTTTCATCAACAAATGTAATTATTGAGCATATACATTGCAACAGACATCGTGGTGAGGCAATGTAGCTAAAACAATGGGGCTGATCTATGCCCATGCGCCCACACACGCATGAGCACATACACGCATGCATCTACATTCAGAATGTGCCTCTCTCCAAGGAAAACTTAGACCTTTTGTACATATATTTTACTTTCAGTTATGAGTCTGTCATTTACTTGGGCATTTACTCAAAGCCTCAGCTTCCTCGCTAGTAAAATAATAATAGTAATAATTGTACCTGAATTGTAGTGTTATTAAGATTAATCAAGAGATTGTATGAAAAGTCCTCAGCACTGAGCCTGGCACAGAATAAATTCCTAATAAATGTTAGTTAATATCCTTATTGGCCTTGGTGACAGTGCTGGTGCCAGTGGTGTTTACAGAGAGTTAGAAGTCGAAGACTTAAGTCTTTCCTGACCAGCCAGCATAAATGTTGGCTGTCTTATTTTCTGCATAGCTCATGTGACTATCTGACCTGATCTTTCTTATTTACTGTCTGTTTTGCCCCACTGGAATTGTGATCCACAAAGGAAGGAAGCCAGGACAGTGTTGGACACATAGAAAGTGTCCGCCTAAAAGCCTGTAAATAAATGAGCGGAGAAGAGGTTAACAACAATGGAAAAGAAGGTAGAAATAACGTACATGAGCAAGAGTCGGGGAAATGGCCTATATTACTGATTTTTCACATGAAATTCTGGGTCCATCACTAGTCAGCATTTATCTAAAAGGAGCAGCTGTTCACAGGAAGTCAATTTAAGAAATCACGAAGAATTTGGATAGTGACAGGCAGTTTAGCAAGTGCCTTTCTCCTTAACTGGAGTTAAGTATAACTTGTGTCAACACATTTGTCTTTGATCCAAGTTCAGGTTCACTTCCATCTCCCAAACCTTCAAGGCAGTCACAGACCTGCCAGCAAGATCCTATTTTCCAATATCCAATTTACCCTCCAAAACTGGACTTCAGAGTTCCAGGTCATCGAATTCAGTGCAGATGCTTTCCACGACTGTGTCTGTGTGCACAAAGAAGACTGCCATATGCTTATGAGCATTAAATGAGTCAATATATGTGAAACAATTACAGTAGTGATTGGCACATAGCAACAGCTCCATAAATGTTCCCCGTTGTTGTTATTGTCACCATCATTATCCATTTATTCAAAAAGGATTTACGGACTGCCTATTATGTGCCTGTAGATATTCTAGGCTCAGGATAGTCAAAGATAAACTAAACAGATCAGATCTCTGCCTTTGTGGAGCTTATAATGTGGCTGTTCAAAAAATAAAGTTTAGTACATTGAGCATAATGGCGAATGACTGACTACTTTTGTGTGCGGCTGTAAACTATACTCTCAGTGAGGACAAGCCCCCATCTGCCCTGTTTAACACCATTGCCCTAGTATCTCATGAAGAGAGTAGAAGGCACTCAATTCATGTTGGATAAACAAACAAATAAATAAATAAATAAATAAATAGTGAATTTCTGAGGGAGAGGGGCCCAATTTAACGTGAGCGCTGCAGGTTCCAGGATTAGGCCGTGTGCGCAGATGCCATGCAAACCTTGCAGTTTGTGGACACTGCTTATGTAGCAACGTCTGGGTTAGAGTATATGTGGGTGAACGTAGGAGGGAGGATGAGGTTGTGAGAGCTCGCATATACATAGATAAAATACTTTTTGAATTTCCGAGGGAGGGAGGCCCAATTTAACGTGAACGCTGCGGGTTCCAGGATTAGGCCGTGTGCGCAGATGCCATGCAAACCTTGCAGTTTGTGGACACTGCTTATGTAGCAACGTCTGGGTTAGAGTATATGTGGGTGAACGTAGGAGGGAGGATGAGGTTGTGAGAGCTCGCATATACATAGATAAAATACTTTTTTCTTTTTTTAAACATAGAAGGCGAAGTCTTTGGCTGTGCATTTTTAGGTAAATCCCAGCTTATGTGTGAGCCCAGGTGTAGGGTTCTGACTGAGGTAAATCTGAGCTTGAGTCAGCGTATGAGGTATTAGGCTGGGTTTTGTGGTCTGAGACGGTATTAGGAGTATTTTGCAGGGAAAAATCTAGAGATGTATGCATATCTGTGATCTGTAATGTAATTATCTGTGAGGCAAATTAAGGGTGGGTAAACAAAATCTAGGGTGCTACATATGAGGTAAGAATGGTGTAACTGTAGCTTTGTCTGTGAGTCAATTAGAGGCTTTTGTGATTGTCATTGAAGTAAGAGGGTCTCTCTTTCCTTCAACCAATTCAGAAGTTCTTTATTTGAGGGTGCAGTTTTGTGAGGCAGATTCGAGAACTGGGAGCAATTGTGAGACAATTCTAAGATTAGGATAAAACCATCCTGGGATTATGGGTAAGCAAAGTCTAGGATTGTAAATCTGATGAATCCGAATGTGTGTGTGTGTGTGTGTGTGTGTGTGTGTGTGTGTGTGTCTATAAATCAGGATTTGGCTTTGAAATTAACACCCCTGAGCCAACTAGGTTTACATGCATAAGACAGGCAGAAAGACGAGTTGGTGAGCCAAACTCGAGAGTTGGTGTGGGTAAAGCAGGGTTTGCATGCATGTGTGAGTGAGGCAAGTTCTTGAGTGTGAATCTGGGACTTGTTGGGCGAAGTGCGTGAGTGCGCGCGCGCATCAAGTTGAGATTTCTGCTTCTGATGGACAACAAGGACGTGTAAGCCCGTGAGGCCACGTTAGGGTCAGGGTGCACGAGGAGGGGCGGCCAGGCGAGTGGTCCCGCGAGTGGAGCGCGCCCTGCTCCGGCCCCTGCGCCGCGCTGGCTGGCTGGCTGGGGACTGGCAGGAACCGGAGCAAAACGCCTCGCTGTGGCTGGCTGGGGACTGGCAGGAACCGGAGCAGCACTGCCGCCTCTGGCGCGAAGGCTCAGGCGCCTCCTCCCGCCCCAGTCACTGTGGCTCGGCGCACGCTGCCGGCGGCTGCCCTTTCTGCCTGAGGGAAAGAAAACCCGCGGGCCTCTGTCGCTCTCTAACCATGGCCTCGGGCAGGAGAGGCTGGGACAGCTCCCACGAAGATGATCTGCCCGTGTACCTGGCCAGGCCAGGCACCACAGACCAGGTCCCGCGGCAGAAGTACGGAGGCATGTTCTGCAACGTGGAGGGAGCCTTCGAAAGCAAGACGCTGGATTTCGATGCCCTGAGCGTGGGGCAGCGGGGCGCAAAGACTCCCCGGAGCAGCCAGGGCAGCGGCCGCGCCTCGGGAAGCCGACCCGGGCTCGAGGACTCCCCGCGCAGGGGCCAAGGCCGGGAGGAAAGCAGGGAGCCCGCGCCCGTGTCGCCTGCACCCGCTGGGGTAGAGATCCGGAGCGCCACTGGCAAGGAGGTTTTGCAGAACCTCGGCCCCAAGGACAAGGTAGGGGGGCCTGGGTCTCTTATCCGCCTGCCGTTGTTCCCCGCTCAGCCGGGGGCGCCATGTCCCAGGCACAACTTTCTTTTGCTCACTTTGCACGGGGATGGGGGACTAGGAGGAGGTAAAGGGCATCCTCTGCTGGGCGCACAGCGACCCCCCAGCCCTGACCAGGATTCACGCGTGTCCCCGATTGCAGCATCTTTGTATGCACGGGTCCCCCGCCTCCCTGTCGCACCCTCGGGCCGTTGGTTCTAGGTGGGTGTGTCAGCCCGACCAGCCCAGAAAGGCTTAGCGATTTCCAGCCTTTCTCTCGTCTGAGTAACCGGACACATTGTCTTGGTCCCCTCTCTGGCCCTCGATGAAATCTCCACTCAGTCAACAGGGCAAAGGGCAAACTGGTGCTGGGAAAATGGGGTCATCTCCATAGTGCCCAGATAAAAGTACAGGATGGGCGGTCTCCCCTCTCACTCTTCAAGCATCAGCTCTGTCCCTGAAACTTTCGGGTGTGGAGCCACTAGACTAAAATGCAGGAATCCCCATGCCCGGCTTCTGCCCTAGATCAACATTTCACATCTGTGTTTGTAAGGTGTGTATTTGTGTACCTAGCTCGGCACAAGATTGGGTACCACAGAGATCCAGCTGGCTCTGGAAGAATACCCTTGTATTTTGAAAATAGGTGACAGTATTAGGGGTGCACTGAAGCAGCATAAGCTGCAAGTTCCCTGCTGCTCTTACATGCGCCAAAGCCAATTTCTTGTCTTTGTATTTCTGAGAAACTCATGTCACACTGAATAGCCGGAGGTATAGCATTGAAATCCAGCTTGCCCTGAATTATTTATTTTGTAGAAAATTAAAATCTTAGTTCAGAAAATTCAGGGCCTGGGCAGGGCTGGAGTATTCAAAGTTCGAACTGACGCTTTTGAGTTGGGGACAATAGTAATCAGATACGTCACCCTTGTCTAAATAATGGCTGCGGAATCCAGCTGCATATATTATTCTGCACTAATACTGTTATGAATAATAACCTGAAATGGAAATGTCTGCCTCAGAGCAATTAGAGTTAATGCTTACCCAAGTTTTAGATGTTTTTCCATTAAAATGCTAAGAGCCAGGGAAAGGAAAGCACATCTCTCTCAACTGTTTGGTTTTTGGAAATATAAAAAATTAAACAAACCTTTAACTATTGATACTACCAGGAAAAAACAAGTCCTGTTTAAAAGTGCCATTAAGAAACAATGTCAGTGTCCCTTGGAATCACTTACTTTGTGATTTTCACATGTTTAGAATATAGGATTCCTTTAGGCCCTGCTCAAATACCCTTTTATTAAAAACTTTAGACCTTTTGGAAAGGGTTTGACTGATTTCTAAACTGAAGAATGGCCTTGTAGGATGGTTAGTACCTCCTTCAGGCTTAAGTGCAAACTTTCACTTGTCAGAGGAGCCTGAGTTGATCAGTGTTGAAATGTTCCTTTCCTGACTCTAAGGGGTGGAAGAAGGGATGGAAAAGGTCAGTAACAATTGCTGTGAGTCAGTGCTATTCCCCTTGCTGGAACACCCCTGATGTAAGCCAGATAATATGCCGCTGGGTTTGCAAGATTAAAAATGGTAACTAGAGAGAGGAAAAATGTTCCTCCTTTAAACCCAGCAATTCTCTCGTTTTCTTTCCTTTTGTAAACCCTATACTTTTGGCTCCTAATTGAAAAATAATAATACAACCTAAGCATCAGCAGGATTTCTAGAGCTACATGGTTATTTGTACGTTCGGGCTTGCTGTCAGCTCATTCAGGACATGTTATTATCCCTAATTTTGTTGAATCACAGTTAGAAGAGACACCATAGGTTATCTCTTTCTGAACTTCATCATTATTTCCTTGAGGATAGAGGTTGTGTATTTGGATTTATCTTTGTGGCTAAAATACCTGGCACATTAGAGGTGCTCCATAAATACTTAATACATTAAGCCACCCCTTAATTTAACCATTTATTTTGCTATATAGATGCAAAATGATCGTCTGGTTTCACTGCCATTTTCAGGGACCTCTCTATCCCATGAAGCAACTTTTGGGCAACTTTTCTTTTAAAAAATCATATTAAGCCTGAATCTGCCCACTTGTAATTTCTACAAACTATCGTTAGTTCTGACTTCTTGAAATATATGAATAACTATGTTTCCTTTTTCTGAAATATTTTAATGATTTTAAGCATGTGGACTCGTGTATCTGTTAGAAAAGGTTGGGTAATGCCACAGTAACAAGCAATCCCCAAATGTCAATGCCTTAATCAAACAATAACAATTCATTTCTTGCTCCTGCTACTTAGCCAGCATGAATGAGCCGGGCAGGTCTGTTCATCACTGCCCTTCAGAGACCTAGACTGATGGAGGTTCCATGACCACACAGTCATGGTGGGAAAAGCATGTGGCAAATTGTGCACAATCTCTTCAGCTCCCACACTGAAGTCATGAATATGACTTATGCTCACATTTCATTGGCCAGAGCAAATCATCAGTCTGTGTCCAACTTCAAAAGATTTGGGAGAGTGCAATCTTACCACGATCTTGTTAGAGAGGGATTAGAAATATATATTTAGAAAATTGCTTCAGTATCTCTCCCAGATCTGGGGATGGACTACTGGGTAAAACCTGGCTCAACTCTTAAAAATTATGAGACTATAACCATGTATCTTGGACTACTTTCCACATAATAAGTACTCAATACGTATTAATTGGTATTACTCTTTGATTTTTACTGCTCTATATGTGTTCCTAACTTCATCTTTTCCTTGTATGATCATTTTCATCATTTTGATTTCCTTTTCAGGGTTTACTTTATTTTGTAAATATTCTTTCGAAAATACAATGCCCAGAACCGAACACAGTGCTCCAGATGGGATATGGCCATGGCAAAGTGAATTAGGCTAGTTAACTTCCTTGATTTATATGCACCATATGCTTCTATAGTACAAGATTACACCTGATAATTCAGTGTCCATATCCTACTATTGTCTCCATAGTAAATTCCTATCATTCAAGCCTTCAGAAACTTTTCCACATAAGCTCTCCACTCTATGCTGGTACAACTGAACTTAGAACCAAAAGGAGAGAGGGAACACTAACTGTAGAATTTTATTTTTCTTCCCACTATAATATTCATCACCATCTGAGTTCATCTTTCTATTATACCATGATAATTTTGAACCTTAATTCTGTGATATAGCATCCCTACCCCAAGTTTTGGACCATCTGCAGATTTGATAGTGAGTCCTTCTCTATAAGTACTTTCTATGTACCTAGCATAAATACATATCCCCCTCCCTTTTATTTTCTCTTAAAGAAAATGATTTTATAGATAAAAGAATCAAAAATCAGGGACTCTAAGTGGTTAGCCCCAGATCACATAGATCATAAGTGGTGAGCCAGAATTCAAACTGATTTTTTCTAATTGCAGAATCCATCCTCTTCCCAGACTGAGAGGCTGCTTTATTTAAATTTAATGAGCCTGACCATTGTGTCTGCACCTGACATGTTACTATAATGCAGAGCAAGGACATCTTTCCACATGTCTCTAGAAACCTTCCTTCATCTTGCCACCAGCCCAAATATTCATGATGCTTGGAAAGCATTTGCTCAGCCTTTAAGTACAATAACTGCAAAATCCTTGTTCTTCCAAGTTGATTGCAAAATTATCAAAAAAGGTTTTTAAAAAATGTCTTGGTAAACTCAAAATATGCTTTGTCTCTAGCATATCTACTCATTAGTCCCACCATTAGAAAATGAGTTTAGTTAATTAATCAATAAATTATGAAAGAATTAAATAATAAAAGTGTTTGGTAGAATAAAAAAATAAAAATATTTCTGAGTTATACTACGAATGCCAAATTCCACGTTTGAGATATGATGAGGTATTTATATTGTGGTTCTGGACCTATCTGTAAACACCTTGTTAAATTTTATAGTTTGATTTTTCTCATGATAGGTGTTCATACTGCCAAAATCCTCCATCCTCCATGGTTGGCTCACATATTTTTTGTTAATAATTTTTGACAGTAGGAGCATTAAAAACAATTCTAAGTGAAAAGTAAATATTCTCCATCATTTCTCGAGATGGTTCCCAGAATCTAGCAGTGAAATTACTAAAGGGAGGAGAATTATGTTATATGGTCAGCCAAGAGCAAATGATACTGCAGAGACTCTCATCCAGCGAAAACATAGTAATGACATATGATTACAAGGGTCTATTGATAACTCCCTCTCAGGAGCTGTGGGTCATTTCTAGTTCCCTGCTTCCCACGTGGGCCACTTTTGTGTAAGATGTTCCCTTTATGAAGTCAACAGGGGTTCTAGGTGTTGAAGGAGAGCATTCAAAACCAATAAGATGTGTCTCTTTGCTTTTTCACTATTTTTCATTTGCTCTTTTGGTCCTGGGCGAAAAGTTTTCAAAATGATTCAGAGACACTGAAGTTCTCCTCCTTAGCCCGCATAAGGAAAGATGGCTGAAAATAGAATCCTAGGTTTATAAAGCCCTCTGGAGTCATCCGAATCCAAACCCTGCAGTGTAAATTAATTTTACCAGGCTCCTCTGACAAGTGAAAGTTTGCATTTAGACTAGGAAAAAAAAAGGTGCTTGCTTACCTGGCCCTTAGGCCACACTTGAATCTGGGAGTGTACTCACTTCTCCAAAATTGGAAATGTTTGAAACCTTTCAGAACTTTTGTTTAGTTTGACACTGGGCATTTGAGGAGAGCATAAAAAAATGTGTCTTCCAAGTAATGCTTCGATTGGCAGAGTTCCCTCAAAGTAATGGTCCCTGGAGTTAGGATTTTGCTGACGGCTCTTGTAAGTAATGTTTAAGACAGCTAGAGACTGCCTGTGTTGCTTTTCTGTCAGTGATTTCTATTGCTGATTCTCCTTATGATTTATTTCCACTGGGCATTATCCCTTCAACTAATATTTCTGTGAGATAGTGGATAACGCTTACTAGGAATAGGAAATCTGGCTGAGGAGAATGCAATCTGTGACTGGAAGCTTAGCCTTCCATTTTTGAGGGGAGGCAAAAATTCCATTTAGGTGTATGAACGCTTTTTAAATATTAAACTTCTAGGAAAATGTAATATTAAAATTTATCTGTACTCTTAACGTGGACTCATATGACATTCACAAAACAGTTCTACTCCGCCAAAAGAATGAGATGAGGCAGAAAAGAAAACTAAACCCCAAATAACTGCATAAGGCATTAGCACTCTCAGCTAATGGAGACCCAGCCTTTAACCAGCTATCCCACTTGGGCACGTTACCTCTTTTCTCTCTGAGTTTTAGTTTCTCTTTTTCTAAAGTTAGGGGACTAGACCAAATGGTCACTTTGGTAATAGTCTATAAACTTTTTTGATTGTGCATCTCTATGCAAAAATTTTCGAGCATGTTCTCTATGCATGTATATGTACCCACTTGCGCATTGATATAAATTATGTACAAATAATGTACTAATATCTCGTGATCTTGATACAATACGAATAAAGGTAAAACTAGGAAGGAAGAGATATTATCAGAAATACAAACAGAAATCCTGATATTTTTCCTTGTACCTCAGTAGCTCATCTTCACTACCTAGTTGGCTGAATGCTTGTATGACCAAAGCCATAAGTCAGTGTTTCTAATATTAGAGTCACTAATGAGTTCATTGTCATTTCCAGTTCTTCAAAGATATATGTTTTTTTATGGACTAGTATCTAAGAGAAAAATTCAAAACTATTGAAGGCCGCAATGAGGCTACAGACTCGGTGCTGGTTAGCGGTCAGTGTACTAGGTTATCCAATTTGTGGGCATAGAGTTTTTCATAATATTCCTCTATTATTCTTATAATATCCATGGGATCTGTAGCAATGTCTCCTCTTTTATTTCTGTTGTTAGTAATTTGTGTCTTCTCTCCTTTTTTCTTAGTTATCCTGACTGTAAGCTTATTGATTATTGACCTTTTCGAAGAACCAACTCCTGGTTTTGTTAATCTTCTTTATTGATTTCTTGTTTTCAGTTTCATTGATTTATGTTCTAATTTCTATTCTGTCTTTTCTTCTGCTTACCTTGGACTTAATTTGTCTTCTTTTTCTAGTTTCCTAAGATGAAAGCTTACACTATTGACTTTAGGCCTTTTTTTCCCTAATATATGCATTTTATGTTATAAATTTCCCTCTAAGCACTGTATTTTTACTTTTATTTAGCTCAAAATATTTTAAATTAATTTTGATGTTATACATCTCACTTATAAGCATACATATATATGTATACACATGCATAACTGAATACGCTGCTGCTATTATTTTGGATTAATTTATGTTAGATCAGTTAAGAAAAATGAAAGTTTTTATTTTATTTTGTCTTCAGTTATTCTTTCTTCAGTACTCTTCCTTTTTTAAATGTAGGTCCAAGTTTCTGACCTATGTCATTTTCTTTCTCTCTGAAGAACTTTTAACATTTCTGGTAAGACAGATCTACAAATTCATAGCCAACAAATTTCCTCATTTTTGTTTGTCTAAGAAAGTCTTTATTTCTCCCTCATTTTCGAAGGATATTTCCCAAGGTCAGAATTTTAGGCTGGTTTTTCTTTGAACACATTATATATTTCACTCTATTTTCTTCTTGCATGGGTGGTTTCTGAGAAGTTAGATGTAATTCTTACCCTTGCTTCTCTTTAGGTAAGGTGTTTTTTCCTCTGGCTTCTTAGAAGGTTTTTTCTTTATCTCTGATTTTCTGTGATTTGAATAGGATGTGCCTAGATATAGTTGTTTTCATTTTGTTTTGTTTTGATATCCTCTGAGCTTCTTTGATCTGTGGTTTGGTGTTTGACATTAATTTAGTGTTTGATGTTAATTTTCTTCACCTTTTGGTATTCCCATTATGCATGTTACACTTTTTGTGGTTGACCCATAGTTCTTGGGTATTTTGTTATGGTTTATTTAGTCTTTTTTTCTTTTTGCTCAGTTTTGGAAGTTTCTATTATTATATCCTCAAATTCAGAGATTCTTTCCTCCATCCTGTCTAGCTTAGTAAAGAGCCCATCAAAGGCATTCTTCATACAGTGTTTTTTATTTCTAGCATTTTTTGATTCTTTAGAATTTCCATCTCTTTGCTTACATTATCTATCTGTTCTTACATGTTATCTACTTTTTCATTGAAGCATATTAATTATAATTTTTCTAAATACTTGGTCTAATAATTCCAACATTCCTGCCATATCCCACTCTGGTTCTGACGTCTGTTCAGTATCTTCAGACCATGTTTTTTGCCTTTTGGTATGCCTTGTGCTTTTTTATTAAAAGGTGGATACAACCAGTGGATGAAATGAACTCCAATACATACAACGTTAGTAATATAGTAGTAAGGCATGGAGGGATGGGAGCATTCTATAGTCTTATGATTAGGACTTAGTCTCCCGGTGAACTCATGCCTGTGGACTGTGGACTTCACCATGCTTCTCAGTGCCTGCCCCCCTTAGGTGGGACAGGATGGAGGGAGGGGGCTGGAATTGTGCATTTCCCTTCTCTCACATGGAAGGTCAGAGGTGGCTGATATGGATTTCCTCCTTCCCCCTCAGGTAGGTTAGGCTCTGGGAAAATAGTTTCTCCTGAAGGTGAGCTTTGTTAAGGAGAACAGAATAGTCTGGTATATTTTGAAATGGTTCCTTTTCCCCTCCCCCTGCCAGAAGCAGGAGGAGATTTTTCTCTACTATTCACCGTGAGGACCTAGTAGAGCTCTTGGAGGTGATGGTCATAACTGTGAGGGCCCTCCAATAGTTGGGTCCCCCTGGAGTTTTTAACTCTTAGAATTGTCCACACTGAGCCTCCAACAATTTGTCATCTACAGGTCAGGTTTTCCTGCCCTGGTTAGTTCCCATGAAAGTGTTTGCTTGTGGGTTTCTGCTCAGGTAAGTGATTCTCTGTATCTACCTCTCTGTCTCCCCAATTTTGGAGGCAGTGGCTTTCCCTGTGACTTCACCTTTCTGCTGGATCTAAGAAGAGTTATCGACTTGTCAGTTTGCTCAGCTTTTCACTTATTGTTAAGATGGAGCTCTTTACATGATGGACTGGAAACCCTAAACTATATTTTTAAACTTAAGTTGTTAGGGCATCTTTTCAGAGCATCAGAGATTTTCTAAAGCATTATTTACAATGGCTTTATAGTACTCCATTGTGAGATAGTACATATTTAATTACTAATTACTTTTAAATTGGATATTTAAGTTCTTTTTCAATTTTGATTTCACTTTTCTTTTGCTGTTGTAAATAAGGAGACAATTGACCATCTTCTAGATAAATCTTTGTACATATTCATTTCACTACTCTTGGACAATGGAAAATTCCTAGAGATGTCCGCATGTGGTATGGTCATTATATGCTACAGGAACACTGAGCATGGGATGGTCACTTCCTGCATGACACCTCACAGGCAGGACTCTAAGTGTATAAAGCCTGGAAAGCCTTTTGTGTAAATTCTGTAAGAAAGAAGGGCACAGCCTGGACAACATTGCTTAACAGCAGATGAGATTAAAGGTCACAAGAGCCAGGTAAGTGGGGACAAAGTAAAAGATGTGGGATGAAGAAGATTTTAAATCTTAGCTGGAGTTAAAACATAGAAAGTTAAAGTTGTAAAAGGAGATCAACCAAAGGAACAGAATTTTTCTCTACCAAAGTCATTCTAACCTTCATCTCTTGGCATTTTACTTTTCCTTGGGTTTGGAGGCACAAATATGATGTCCAAGTTATGTCCAAAAGAAAAGTTCCATTTATAGGTAACTAATTTATGCAAGACACTGTCTCTAATTCTCATGATAACTCTACAAAATAGGTATTGATATCAACATAGTGTGGAGGAGAAACTTAACCTCAGAGAAGTTACCTGTCGTCGTATAATCATATAATTAGAAATAAACAAAGTCAGGATTTAAATGCTAGGACTGTCTGATTGCTTTTGACATACCACTTTTCTGTTCTCCTTTTATGTGGTAGCAGTTAAGCATCGGTGCCAAATGGGGTCCAGCACCTAGAGCTGACTTGGCGAAAAGGATTATCCAAAATAAAATGCCTACTAACTGGTAGGACTTTCTGGAGAGTGAGAGGATGTGGCTCACAAAATTGAAACAGCAAAGCAGAATTTGGTCAAGTCCAAAACGTGAACACAGTAGCTAAATCAGAAAACATGGGAAGATATGAGGCCCTAGAAAGCATCCAGGAGATAGAGAAAGGGAAGGAAGAAGCGGAGAGGGAGTAGGACGGTTTCATGAGAAGCCCTAAGTTCCTAATGATAATTTTTATTGGGTGCTATGGCTCACTGGGAGGTCGGCCTGATTTAAAGGCACCTCCGAAGGGCAGACAGTATTTGAAGGATGGTGGCAGAGATCGGGCTCAAATCCAGTCTACAGGGCCTTGCAAGTCTACACACTGCCCATTCTGGACATTCTCTGTCAAGCACAGAACTACTTGGTTTGTTGTTAAGCTGCTAGACTATGTCCAATGAGAAAAGATTCAATGCTTCAGTTGATTTGGTAGGGAGAGGCTGTTTTCCTCTAATATTCCCACATCCTATCACTTAGAAATAAATAAAAACAACGAAATGGGAAGTTGTGTTATAAATGGATACATAGTGAGAAGGAAAAAAAAAAATACAGTTGATGAATGATGATATCTCACACAGTTGATAGTGAGGGAAAACCTTTCCAGAGATATAGTTTTCTCCTACACACCACCAAGGGAGAGTCAGGAAGCCAGCCAGTGGTACTCTTAGGTGATTTTTTAGTGAGATTACAGGGTCAGGGAGTTTCAAATGGATGTGTAGGATTTGAAATGAAGGCAGCACCTGGCAATGCGTGCTGTCAGCTAAGAATTTGAAAATAAAGGCTGAGATGTCCCTTCATTGTCCACAACAGGAGTCTGTAAACGTTTTCTGTAAAGGTCCAGATAGTAAATATTTTAGACTTTGCAGGTTATCAAGTGTCTGTCTTATAACTAAACTCTGTATCGCAAAAGCCTCTATATAGACAATATGTAAATGAACGGGGTAGCTATGTGCCAATTCAGCTTTATTTACAGAGTCAGGTGGTGGGCTGGATTTGGCCTAAGGACAATAGTTTGTCAACTCCTGGTCTTGAATACAAGAAAAGGGACATGCGCGCATATGTATAGAGTGGCAGAATGAACCCTAGCAACTTTCAGTGTGAAAAACTTCAGACATTTGAAGGAGATTTGGTAACTAAACAAGACAATCTAAAAGGCTCAACAAGAAACACTCATTTCCCTCTTTTGGGATGTCTGAGATTGGAGGAGGAAATTAAAAATACATATCTGACAATGAAGGGAAGAACAGTGCAGGACATTTTAGGAATGCAAATCTGTGAAGCTGCGACATGGCTTTGTAAAGAACAGAGACAGAAGAAAGGAGAAGTTTTAAGAGGCTCACCTGGAAATGACAGAAATAAAGGAAGTCCAAGTGATGAGGAAGAAGGAAGTCAAAGTTAGAATACGGCTTTGCTGGAGTGCTAGGAAGTGGAGAAGTGTGAAGGCAGCAAACAGCTTGGAACCGCAAAGAGGAGAGGTAAATGTGGGAAAGAAGTCCTCTCGGAATGTTGGCAGATGGTGACATAAGGGAACGGGGAGAATGCTAGCCTCACTCACCCTTAAGACATGTCAACAGATTAAAACTATGGAGCTTTGGGAGCTGAAATAATGGCTTGTCCAATAAAAGTGTGATTAGGGATTTTGAGAGAAAGGCTGGGTGTACTTGGGAAGGTGTTTATTACTTTTTGGAAGAGATACGGTCACCACGAGCATTCTGTCATGGAGCTCAGGAATTCGGCAAGGGCTGCCTCCACTTGAGGCTCTGTGGGGAGACTCAATGGCTATGCATTCACTCTTCCATTTGTTTTTTATTCTGTCCACTCATGGGTCCACCAGATATTTACTGAGAGTCCGCCATGAGCCTCTTCAGGGCCACCAGCAATCAGAGATCTATTAGGTACTTGAAGAGGTGGTGACAGCTTCAAAATGAGTGCTCAGGAGAAGGACACTGGGTCTCTGTCAAGCCAGAGGAGAGAGAGGGCAGGAAGTAGATATTCATGAAAAGAATTCTTCATCAACAGGCAGATGCATCCAGCTAGACTGTGGAATCTCAGAGCTAGAAGCAATTTCAAAGATTATTTTGTCCCCTTCGCTTTATAAATACGAAAACTGAAACCTTGAGAGGGGAATAAGTATGAAAAATAATAATTGCGGAGTGCTTCTTATATATCAGGCAGTATTTTATTTTGTTGTTTTTTTTACTGTGGTAAAAAATATATAACATAAGATTTACATTTTTAACCATTTTAAAGTACAAGTCAGTGGTATTAAGTACATTTACAGTGTTGTACAGTCATCATTATCTTGTTCTAGAACTTTTCCATCACCTCAAAAGGAAGCACTAATTCCTCATTACTTGCTCCACCGCTGATCTGCTTTCTGGCTATAGATTGGCCTGTTCTGGACGTTCCATATAAATGGAATTATACAGTTTGTGCCCCCGCCCCCTTTTCTGGTCTGACTTATTTTATTTAGTACCATATTTCAAGGTTCATCATATTGTAGCATGCATCAGTACTTTATTCCTTTTTTTGTGTGACTGGTTATTATTCCCGTGCATGGCTATACCATCGCTTATCCACTCACCAGCCAGTGGACAATTGGCTTTCCGTTTTTTGTCTGCTGTGAATAGTGCTGCACCAAGGCACTTTTTAGAGCACTTAAAATTTATTTAATCTGTTCACAAAAACCCTTGGAGGGAGGAACTATAATTACACCGATTTTACAAATGAGAGAAGAGAGATTAGGTCACTCGTCTAAGTTATGCCGTTAGTAGAAGGGGGTTGGGGGTGGGTGGGCAGAGCTAAGAACCAAATTTTCTATTCCCCAGCCCAGCACACTGTCCACGCTCCTCACTCACTCAGCTCTGTAAGGGTACTCACCACTCACTCCTGACTGCTCTTCCTCAGTGTCCACCACAGTCACATGTGCTCAGTATATTTGGTGTAAATTAGTTGACTTAAACCCCTCTGCTGAATAATCTATAGGAAACAAAAGGAAGGACTAGAGGTGATAAGCAGTCACTCTATGTATTGTAATAGTAAATATTTAAGATAACTAACTGATCCAGTAACAGGATATTATAAATAATTATGGCATATTCCAATGACAGAATACTATAGGGACATTAAAAACGATGCTGAAGAATAATTACGGCATGAGAAAGTATTCTTGGACTGTTAAGTCCCTCAACTCTCTGAAAGTGTTGTCAACTCCATGGGTTGGAAAACTGAGGCTCAGAGAGGTTAAATAAGCTGCATGAGCTCAAAAAACTTGCAAAGTGAGAATTCTGTCTAAATCCCCAATCCCATGCTGTCAGCCACAATAAAAAAATTAAATGGAAATTTAGCAACATCTTAGCAGTGGTATAGTTCTGAGCAGTGGGATCATGGATAACTTGTGTGTTTTTTCTATTCCTTCAGCAACATTTTCCACAAAGACCTTGCATTGCTTTTGAAATGAAATAAAAGCATTATATTTTCTCTTACAAAGAAGAGAATCCTGCTCAAGTTAACCTCAAAACATAGGTGACCGAAAAAAAAAAAGGGACTTAATCCTCATGGAAGAAAATGTGGGCCACAGCATGAGTAAGGGACAATGCTGGAGAGAAACTCCCAATGGAGGTACAGTTCTGTGGTTATTATCTTTACTATCTCAACATTTGGGACCTATTAAGTGATGCTGACCACTCCTTTCCCCTAATTAAACATTTCTATTTCCCAATTCCTTACAAAGCTCTTGCAGTGATTTGAAAGAGCAGTTGACAAACCACGCCAAATCAGATGTAGTTGTAGCCTGCCTGGTCTTGTGTAACATGGTAGAAATTTGCAGGATTCAGTTATTTAACTTAATATTCCTTGATTCTCTAAACTCTACCTAAAGTTTTACCTTGCCCTTTTTAATTTTATTATTTTGTTTGGTTTTATTTTACTTATTATTGAGGTATAATTGACATATAACATATTAGTTTCAGGTATATAACATAGTGATTCGATACTTATATATATATTACAAAATGATCACAATAAGTCTAGTGAGCATCCATCACCATACATAGTTACAGAAATTTTTTTCTTGTGATGAGAACTTTTAAGATTTACTCTCTTAGCAACTGTCAGATATATAATACGGTATTGTTGACTATAGTCATCATGCTGTACATTACATCCCAGGACTTAGTTCTTTTATAACTGGAAGTTTGTATTTTTCGATTCCCTTTTCCCATTCCGCCCACCCCTCGCCCCCACCTCCGGCAACCTCCAGTTTGTTCTCTGTATCCATGAGCTTGTTTTATTTATTTATTTATTTTTTATTTCCACACATGAGTGCAATCTTCCTTTCTGAATATTGCCAATGAGCACTTGCTTGGGGCCTGTAGTTGTCATAGCTGCCACAAAGGATTTGCAAAATAACCCTTCTTCATACTATCAATATAAGAACAATAGTAGTTTGTTATTGTTTTTACTGTTGATGGGAACAACGCTATGAAAACTAGCTATTGTCTCTAAGGATTCAGGTTGTTGATATTTAATTCCAAATTTCCCCTTTCAAGCCCTGTCTCCTCATTTAATCAGCAATGATGTGGCTCTACAGTAGCTGTAATGTTGTCATAATTTCCATGGAAACTGTCTGTAAAGCTATAAACACAGGATTACACCCTCCCCGCAGGCTAAGGCAGGAAGGCCAGATGGACTACAAAGGGGTGAAGGCCTTCACTCTGACATAAATCATTTGGTGCAGGGGTGGGGTGGGGGGAGACAATAGAGGAGGGCTGCAGGAGGAAACCACTTCGGGAGGAAAATTATATTTGGTGCCGTCTTTGCCACAGGGTGAAATTTCCAAACGAAGTGGCCAGCAGTGTAGGCTCCTTTCCAAGGCCAGTGTCTGGGCCTGGTTACTCGGCCCCTGATGCTAATGAGGCTGCAGATGAGGATTTCTTCCCATGTGGGCTGCTGGCTTGGTTGGTCCTCAGCCACAGACTGACATAGGTCCTGGTCAGCTCCTGTGTGTGTGACAGTAGGGACATCCCTGTGAGCCAGGCTGGACACATGAATACAGTAGTCCCCCTTTATCCACAGTTTCACTTTTCACAGTTTCAGTCGAGGTCAGTTGTGGTCTGAAAAATATTAAATGGAAAATTCCAGAAATAAATAATTCATAAGTTTTAAATTGCGTGCTATCCTGAGTAGTGTGACGACACTTCCCGCTATCCCGCTCCATCCAGCCTAGGAAGCGAATCATCCCTTTGTCCACCATGTGGACACTGTATGCGCTACCTGCTTATTCGTCACTTGGTAGCAGTCTAGGATAGCAGGTCAGTTATCAGAGAGAGAGGGCACATTCACATAACTTTTATTACAGTATATTGTTTTAATCATTCCATTTTATTATTAGTTATTGTTTGTAATCTCTCACTGTGCCTATTTCATAAATTAAACTTTATCATCGATAGGTATGTGTAGGAAAAAGCATAGGACTTAAAGGGTTCGGTACTATCTGCAGTTTAAGGCATCCATCGGGGGTGTGGAACGTATCCCCTGCAGGTAAGGGAGGACCAGTGTATCTCCTTGGAACATCATAGCATCCCTGAGAGTAAGATAAGATTATTCTCATTGTATAGCTGAGGTAATGGCACTAGTCTCTCTCTCTCCCCCTCAGATCTCAACTTCATCTTGAGTATTTCCAGGGACCTTTCCCTGGGTCCTCAAAGCTGAGTGAGGTATCTCTGTGTACTTCTTAATATATCTCTCTTTGACACTTATCGTTCTATATTATAGATTCTTGTTTATCTCTTACCCACTACTAGCCTGGGAGGCAATGTCTCTAGTACCTAACACAGTGGTTGACTTATAGTAGGTGCTCAATACTTATTTTTGAATGAATGAATAGAAATTTTCAGTAACTTATTCAAAATATGTCTTTTTCACAGTCGTATCCCTGGGAATTAGCACAGTCGCTGGCATGTAATAGACGCTCAATGAATATTTGCATGAAATAGTGAATGAATGAACATCAGCTAGCTCATTACCCAGTGTACCAGGGAGTCACGCCAAGCTTTTTGACTCCAGGCACTGTGTTGCATTAGCTGGTAAAAGAGATCATTGTCATGTCTAGCCAGGCAATTCAAAGTGCATAGCTTCCTGATAGTGGCTTGTTACTGTCTGGTTTTAGAAGTGCATCTCATTCTATAACAGCTTTTACACTTATCTGAGGCCACCTCCAGCCTGGTGCAAAAAACATTTGTCTGCAAGCCAGGAGGGCAAAGGCGAGACATGGTTCTGTTACTCATGTAAATTTGGCCAAATCCTTTCATCTTTGTGGGCTTTAGCTTCTTCATCTTTAAAACAAAAGAGTCAGATCTGAGATTTTCTAGGAGCATACCTTCCCTTAAAAAAAAAAATCCAAAGTGATCTGATGTTAAAGGAGCTGCTTGGCGAGAGGCCTTTTCCAATCTTCCCTTCTCACCCTTGGTAACCTTTGAGGAAGCTCAGTGGACAGCCAGGTCCCTGGTAAACACAGTTCAGAATCCGCTAGAATAGATTCTAGTTAGGGCCGCTTTGGTTCTAAAGTTCAAGAATTCTAGCAATGTGGACACCAAATCCCACAAACTGTGCAGCCAGTTCTGGGCTAACGGTATGTGCCACTTATTTTTACAAATAGACATCTGGACGGAGAGAAATGGGCTTAGGATTTGGGGTCATGATTTCTGATTTTAGGACTCAGAATCAGCACTTGCCTAAAGGGTATCACCGTAGAGCAAGCTATTTCACTTCTCTGAGCCAGTTTCCTCATCTATAGATTGCGGCAAGCATTCTTTCCTGATTGGGTTTTATGAGACTCACAGTGGCAGTGATCATAATGACTATTTGGTGTGTAATTACTAAGTACTAAGCAAATTTGGTTGGGAGAGACAATCCACCATGGGCTTTGAGTAACCCTTTAAGTCCTTACTGGTTATGATCAAAATGCAAGGCCCTGACTCCTCTTTACCTTGATTATTTCTCATGGTTTTCAGTGAGCAAGCATGGCAGATAAGGTAACATTTCCCCCAGACAAAGAGTAGTCTTACTTCAGTTTACTATAAAAATATTGAATCCCCCAAACACAGTGTTCTATAATACAATCCACCATGTGTGCACACATCTCTGTTGGGCCTTTTGCATCATCCCTGTGAGAACTGAGAAGCATGAGCAATCAGTGAAAGCCAACGCGAAACTCTGACTAATGCTTTTGTCATGAGTAATGAAGCTGTTTGTCTCTGACCCAGGAGTCTCTTGTCTTCTGTCAATATCCATAAAATAGTAATAAGCTAACTTGTTAGGTTGTAAGTAGGATAAAATCTCAGACCCTCCATAGTTCTTGACATATATATTATATTACATTAATTAAAGGATCACAACAGCTGTTCGAAGTAGGTAGTTCTAGTAACCAGATTTCATAGATAACATAATTAAATTTCAGCAAGTTTCAGTAACGTGCCAGAGATCGCACAGCTATTATATAGTAGAACCAAGATTAAAATAATGTTTGTTTTACTCCAAAGGTTATACCCTTAACTATAATATATTTTCTTTCTGAATCATACGAAGTAATGACTATGAAATTCCTTCCAAATGCTAAAGCATTATATACATATGTTATTATTAACAAAAATATAATTATGTGAGCACTGAGAAATTGTTATCAGCTGTGGCCCTAGCTCCCCACAGCAGATAAATCTACCTAATTAAATGTCTATGGAAAACCTGATTCGCAGCCCCCTTGCTGCTTGCTGGCTGTGTGACATTGGACACATTTAACATCTTTCTATAAGTTTATTGTTCAGTCGTTAAAACAGACCCCATCTTAGGTACCTCAGACAGATTTAATACAGAGAATTGAGTATAGACATGTTGGGAGCTGAAAGAGCCAAGAGGAACATAAAGGTAAATCCAGAGGTAGTAACCACTTGGAACAGCAACCACCCAGGGCTGAGTAAACAAAGACAGGGCTGCTGGACTGGAGGTGCTCAGAGGGTCAGTGTTCAGAATTCTGAGGAGACACCTTGCCTAATTGATCCTGATGCTCTTGAGAAGGTGTCGCAAACCCGCGAGTGAAAGTGAGACTGGAGACAACCACAGCCGTAATGAGTGATGCTGCCAGAACGGGGATGCACGGAAAAGCTCTGTTTCCCTTTATTTGGATCTCTTTTTCCATTTTCTGCCTCCTATTTGCAGAACTTAATAGGAAACTAGCTGGTTAAGGGTCCTGGGTCATGTAGTTTTGCCGAATCCCAGCCGAGTAGAGGTTGGAGAGTATAGAATATAGAAGGATGGGCTCGGGGCTGGAACAGTAGGCAACTGACAGGCACAAATGTTGTCCTTTCATCTCATGTCTATAAAATAGGGATAATGTCTATCTCATTATATTCTTTTGGAGGATTAAATGACATAACCACTCAGTTGCTTAAGACTGATTGCAAGTACCCAATAAAATGTAAGCTTTTATTATTCTTATTATGCTAATCTTGCTCTCTGTATAATCTGCTGCATTTGCCTGTTTTCCAGTGGGACTT